GGAAACAAACAATTTTCATAATTTTTTCATTTTTATGTACCGAAGACAAGCTATGTATTATGAAAAAAATTTTTTGATCCTAAAATACAAAGTTTTGTATGTATATTGTATAGCAATTTGAGACACACATTCTCTCAAAATGTGAGCAAATTTGGAACATTTTGAGCCGAGTTATAGCCAAACTCCAGAATCATACCTTTTATGCTCGAGTGAGCACATCTCAAGAGAAAGTGTTCCAAACCGCTTCAAATTTTTTTCTGTATATATTTGATCTACGCCAAACATTTTTCATCACAAAGCCAATCTTTTTTAAAATTCTGACGGAAAACTGTTTGTTTTTCTTCTGGAGTCATCGTCACGTCTGTGAAGATTCAGAAGACACAAAAATTGATTAAGTTTCAACAAACTTATACAACGTTTTGTTGGAAATCCAGCTACATTTAACAAATAAGTTTTCAATTATTGGACAAGTTTGAGAAAAGTTATGAGCAAAAGTATAGAGTGACACTCACTANCGNTCGCCACTGTATAAGGGAAGATATGATTTCTCTAAAACTGTTGACTTACATCTCAAGAGCCACTTCTTCTCCCATTCAGCATAATCCACGCAGTTCATTGGCCAATGAGGAATGTTTTTGCAATCCTTGCACCAAGAGTATCCACATGGACACGAACGATTTTGATGTTGATATTTCCCTGTATCCTCGAAAAATACAGCGGATTTGAAGCTGGGCATTTTTCGAAGTCTCCAGTAGCACCAAGATCCTTGTAGATTGTTTCAGCAACAGTCTAAAACAAAAAAATATTGACAGTTTCTAGTCAAATACACTTACTCGAACGTAAAGATTCAGAATTTGAAGCGGGATGAATGTTGGAAGATATTCCAGTTCCTCTGCAGTATCAGTATGAAGATCAATTGGAAGACGTTGAGCCATGAACTCTCTATAGAACTCTGCTCTCAAGCAATCCGTGCATTTAACCTTAGACTCATTCTCCACTAGAAACAGCTGATGGGACATCATCTTCCGACTACATTCGCCGCAATTCTCTTCGAATGTGTAACAAGTTTTCACTCGATTTTCCTTTTTCACCATTTCGCACAAATCATCCCATTCCAGTCTTCCACCAACTTGACTCAATTGTTGAGTGTTAGCCCATGTTGCATGGTAATGTTGATTTGGCCAATTGATATTCTGCATTTTCTTCATTTCCATATCCCACGTGAAGGTGTCATTCAGAAGTTTGTTGATGTTCTTCTCCTCATAGTACTTTCCAGATGTTCGGATTTTACTGCAAAATGTTGAATCTTTATTTCATACAGAGGGGGAATAAAACATAACAACATCATGAACTTTTATCATGGGAATCTTTGTAGAACAGTTGATACAAAAAAAAGTACTTACTCAGCAATGCTTCGACTCTGGAAGAGTTCTCCACAAACTCGAGTAATCGCATCTAGAATAGTTGCTGTGCTGGAAATCAACTTCTTCAAATGTTCTGAACTTCTGTTTTCTGGGTGGCTGACGAGGGTGGAGTTGAGAAGAACACTGCAAATATCAAAAGCTAATCATGAAAGGAAATAATAAAGAAACTCACTTGTAAGTATTCTGTTTCAGGTGAGTGAAAACCATTACAGTAGTCGTCTCTCCATCTTTCTTCGCTCCTTCCATTTGGCACCTCTTGGAAACGTCAATCAAGTATTGCTTCGGTCGAAGATCCTTGATTTTTAGATCTTTCTCATCTCGAAGTTGGTTGATTTGATCTTCAAAGAGAGCATTTTGATTGCTGAATGTAATTACAGACTCCATGAAAGTGTATCCTTCTTGGTTCAAGTACTGTTGAATGTTGAATTGTTGGCAATATTCGTTTTCAGGATGATCAACGATCTCGTATGATGCTTCGCTGTTATTTCTTTTGACACGAGGAAGCTGCTTACTTTTGTTGTGTACCATGAAATCGGTTAGATTCAAGACATTATTGGCTTGACGGTAGGAAGGAAAGTTGTCCAAATCCTCTTCTTCTTCGGAATAATCTTCATCATCGTAAATTTCAATATCAAATTTCTTATTCAAACGATGACGTCCTGACTTCGAAACAACCTTCGCCTTGAACAACTCACTTCCAACAACTTCTAAACTTTGATGAGTTTTGTAGATGTTGTAGGTTATTGTAGGTTGTTGTTCTTCTTCATTCTCCTTTTCGTCCCGGAACATTTTAGCATTTGCCTTCTTACTGAACTCACGGCTTTTCGGTAGGAAATTAGAATAGTCTTGTCCTTTTCTGGATAAAGACTTTGCACTTCTGATTTGAAATTCTCCTGGTGCATCTGTTTCCGTGAGTTTTCTAGAGTGAACCGCGAATGTAGACTTGCTGGGATACATAAATCCATACTGTTCTAACGCATTCTTCTCCACGACTTCAGCATTCAGATTTTCAGCGACTCCTCCCAGAAGAGTAATTGTGGTAGAATCATTCCAACGATTCTTCTTATCCATTGAATACACTACATTGAACTTCAGATTGTCAGCTGTGCTGTTCAGAATTCTATCAGTAGTTTTCTGAAAAGAACATCATTTTACAACACCAAACTCTGGGATATTGCTTACCTTATTCAATTGTGATGTCGATTCGATAGTCTTCTCAATAAAGGTCCTATCCTTCACTGATTTATGAAGGCGTTCCTTTCCTCGATGATGCTCTTTTCCGAGCCAACGACGTTCTCCACGGGGCTTCTCGAAGATGGTTTCATCGCAAACGAATTCAATCTCATCCCAGTCTGACACGTAGGACTCTGCGTAATTCGATTCTCCACACTCCGACGACATTTTTTCGGTTTCTTGGTTACAGTTTTCAAGAGAAGACGATATTTTGAAAGCGGTGGGAGAGTGGAAACTCTACAAATGAATTGTAAAAAAGAGTTAAAATTTCAAGAAAAGTTTTTGAAGTTTAAGAAAATCAATGAAATGTTTGGTATCCTTGGTTTCCACATAGTCTCCTTATATACCAACACTAAACGTTCTTTGTCCTTGTGTATTATTGCACAACACTGTGATGTATCCTGCGTCTCCTTTTTTCTTGTGCGCGTCGGTTTGGAAAGATTTCGCAATCCGCTGAATACTATAGTGTTCAAAAAATGAATCATTGGTTGAGAGAACTAAATGAGGAATTTTCAATAGAATTGATATTATTTTCGATTTCATTGTTTTGACGAATCTTGAAAATGTTCGTCGACAAAGTACACCTCAAAACTTAGAATAGAAGGGTCCTCACACTGTCAAGTTTGATCTCAATGATATCGGTTCCTATAACAGATATCATGAAGTAGTCAACTGACAAAATATTTCTGATATTATGATAAACAATTTATCAATTGACCAATTTTGGATACCGAGGTATGTATAGGGTCCTATAGGCTTCTATTATTTTTATTTTTATGGTAGTCTAATAAACTCTGTGTCAGTTTTTCTCAGCTTCTGTGGGAGGTGTCCAAAAATCGGCAACGGACAAAATGTTCACCATAATACGAAATACATGTTTTTTTTAAATTGAAAATTTGTTGTATTCCTTTTTCAATATCACAAAAATATGTAGCCAAGGTCATCATTTATTCATTCAAAGAATGATTTAAAAAAGAAATGGTAAGATCAATCAATTAGTTTCTTCTTCCAGGAATTGAAAAAAGTTATCTTGAACATCACGCTAGTTTCTAGATCGTCCACCAGCATTTCTTCTTGCTTCTGATTCAGTTCCTCCTCGATTATATGCTCCTGGCTCTTGGTTCCCCAGGCCCACAGGCCCAGGCCCACAGGCTCAGGCCCACAGGCCCAGGCCCACAGGCTCAGGCCCACAGGCCCAGACCCACAGGCCCAGGCCCACAGGCCCAGGCCCACAGGCCCAGGCCCACAGGCCCAGGCCCACAGGCCCAGGCCCACAGGCCCAGGCCCACAGGCCCAGGCCCACAGGCCCAGGCCCACAGGCTCAGGCCCACAGGCTCAGGCCCACAGGCTCAGGCCCACAGGCCCAGGCCCACAGGCCCAGACCCACAGGCCCAGGCCCACAGGTCCAGGCCCACAGGCCCATGCCCACAGTTCCAGGCCCACAGGCCCAGGCCCACAGGCCCAGGCCCACAGGCCCAGGCCCACAGGCCCAGGCCCACAGGCCCAGGCCCACAGGTCCAGGCCCACAGGCCCAGGCCCACAGGTCCAGGCCCACAGGTCCAGGCCCACAGGTCCAGGCCCACAGGTCCAGGCCCACAGGTCCAGGCCCACAGGTCCAGGCCCACAGGTCCAGGCCCACAGGTCCAGGCCCACAGGCCCATGCCCACAGGTCCAGGCCCACAGGTCCAGGCCCACAGGTCCAGGCCCACAGGTCCAGGCCCACAGGCCCAGGCCCACAGGCCCAGGCCCACAGGCCCAGGCCCACAGGCCCAGGCCCACAGGCCCAGGCCCACAGGCCCAGGCCCACAGGCCCTTCTTCCCTTCACTCCTCTTTCCCTTTATAGTATTCTTCCCGAGGTCAATGGGCCACGCTGGGTCATAAGGTTCTGAATCATTTCATGTATCTTGTTTGGTCTAGAATTTGAACATCTAAAACTTATTTTTGCCCGGTGGATTTACTTTATTCACAATAAAGTTTTTCATTGAATAACACTTGATTTTTTTCTTTTGAAATCTGTGAAATTTAAAAAAAAAGATTCTCCCTTTGAACCGAATTATCTCGTTTCTTGTTTGAAAAATCGATCAATGTATATTTTCATATCTTTTCCAACTATAATAACTCAAAAGCAAATAGCGTTCATTCAATGAAAAAAGAAGATCACATCAAAATCGGAACGCTCAATCTTTCGCACTTCTCCTCCTGAATCGCACGTTGATAACCCGTTTTCATCTGACCCATTATGAACAATATCATCCGACTCCACACCTGAAAATTTCATGATTACGCAAATTTGTATTTCCATATTGACAACCTCTCGTTCAGCTCCTTTTTTGAAAGACGGAGGTGGATTTCTCTCGAAACAGTCGGTAAAAATGTCCCAGTACATCGATTGGAAATGAGTCCGGTCGATCAAATGGAGGTGTTGGTAGCCGAGTGCCTGGAATTTTTTTGTTGTGTTTCAGAACCATTCAGGAAAACTTCTAACCTGAAGAGCGTCCTGAGCTTGTTCAAAGTTGTCCTGCAAATTTGTAACGACTAGGTTTAAGACCAACGCCAAGTTGGCTGCATGTGATTTAAAGTAGTCGTTCTCTTTCAACCGATTCGGTGCCACATGATCCAGACGGAACAGTCGAAGGATCTCCTCATCAGTGTGCAAAATATCCCAAAACATATCACATGAACATTTCCGCAGTTGTTTCTGTGAGCATTTGAACCAGCACGTTTCAATAACTCGCTTGTCGTCCCTAGTGAGACCAGAAATCGAGCCATTTGCTGAAATGGGACAGGATGACGTCAGAAGGGGAAGCGTCTTTTTTTTCCTGCTACTCGGAGAGAGTCTACTCGAAAAATTGGATTACCGGCGGTGTTAAGTGAGAATGGGAAAGAGGGGCATGCTTGTTACAATTTGAGAGTTCTTCTCATTTTTCTGTGTCACAAGGATTAGGATATTTGCAAAGATCGTACAGAATTTCTTGTTTTTGGAATATGATACTGAGACGAGAATAAATTAGAACAGTCCAGGAGAATCAAACATCGCTCTACCTACTACACTAATTACTCACGTCCATCTTCAGATTTTCTGGGACCTTGAGTCGGCACTGGAATATGCCTCGTCTTTGGAAATCTTGCAGAATGGCTCGACCCAACCGGTCGATTCGGTAGTTTTTCCTGTGTTCGGTTATCCAAACTTCGACTCCGATTAGTTCGATTGTTCTGGCGGAACAACTTCTCTACCTGGAGTTTTTTTCTTTCATTTTCAATATTCTAAATCTATTTTACCTTTTCCTTTGTCTTCTCCTCATGAGGATTTCCAACTAGTGAGCTACCATTAGAAGATGAAGAATGGCCGTGGCCCATTATCAGTTGAGTTGGGTTTCAAAAATGGATGACTGCAAAATCAGACTCCTTGAAAGAGGATATTTATTGTTTCTGTAAGAAAATTGAAGTTGGAAAATAAACTGATGGAAAATAAATCCCAAACACAATAATATAGTTATTCAAAGTGAGAAGGAAAATGGGTTGGAAAAACGTATGACCGAACTGGGAACCCATATATTATTCATGGAATTCGCTCATTCATTTTGTCCACTTTTTTGTTATGGGTTTTAGTATTAAAACGGGACGGCAGTGAGATGAGGGAAAACGGAGGATGAAGGTGATACTAGAGCGATTAACGATGCTGAAAAAAACGGGGAGGACCTGCTTAGCCATGTATGTAAAACACTCGTAATTGAGGGGTGGAAAAGGGACTGATGTTATGTCACATGGTAAGAAAAAAGGAGAAGAAGAAGTTGGAAAAGAAGAAGAAGAAGTGTCTAATTGGGAGATAGGTTTGTGGAGAAGAGGAAGAAGAAAAAGCACAAGGTGACGTTTTTTGGGAGAAAAAAAAACGAAAGGATCGGAGCTCAGAATGTGTCACGCGAGAGAGGCATAACTAGTATAGCAATATTTCTAGTTATGGTAAAGATTACGGTAGCAGAAATTGAAGTTTTCAAAATAGTTTACAGATATTCAACAATTGGAATGTCTCGAACTAGGTGTTAATACGACTGAAATTTCGACTGTGTGCGGAGCTTAGGTCTGGTAGCGAAATCCTTGAAGGAGGCGAGACAGCAAAAATTTCGGGGGCAGTTCGGGGGACGAAATCGCGCCGCGCTTATGTAGACCATCGGTCGTCAAGCGCCTTCGCGCCCCCGTAGCTCAGCCGGTAGCGGCGCTGTACCCCTGAGCTGCCTGTCATGAGTTCAACCCCTCATGGGGGTTCTCTATGCAAAATATCAGGAAAACGTTTTTTTTTTTGGTGTTTTCGTAATTATTGAACTATTATTCTCGATTTTTGATAATTTTTTCTTGTTTTAGTGCAGTATTTGTTTGCGATTTATCGGATTTCTGTGAAAAAAAGAGTCCAGAATTCATGAAATGCATGGAAAAATCAAAAAAAAAACAGGCCCAAAATGCTACAGAAATACAAACTCTTTCTCAAAAATGCTTCCAATTCTAAACCCGCCTCCTACTAGGGAGATCTGCAACAAATATCCTCGTTTTTCTCAGCAATCCTAATTGTATTTTTTTAGTGCAACACACTTTCTCGTGACATCACAAGTCAGTGGCCACATCCAATTAAAAATTTGTTATCAGATTTCCATCTGGCAGCTTCGCTCCTCTCTCTCTCGTCCCATGCCCGTTTTCGATTAAAGGTGGTGTACGGTGAAATTTTTTATTGCATCAAAATGTGCAGAAATGCATGTAGATTGACATAAAAATAAAGAAAAAATTCAAAAAAAAAATTTCTTCGGCGAGAAAAACGCATCGAAAAATACGCTGAAAGCCCTTAGGGACGAGGTTTTTTCTAGGCCGCCCGGTGAGTAAAAGCGGGCGAATTCAAACTTTCAAAATTTTTTCGCTCGTTTTCACTTTTTTTTTCGGTTTTTTCAAGAGT